CTTTAGGCTGGGAGCCCGTAGCGTTTTTCTACGGCAGCCTTACGGCTGTGACGCCCCTGCATACATGCGTTGCGTATGTGCATGGTTATACACCATAGATAGTGTTTGGTACTATCACTCGCGTATATATACGAAACCGAGCGTATATTGTATAATAAGAGAACCGAGTCGGTTTATAGTTAGTGCCATTATATTACATTTATGTAATACAACATGAACAGCGCATGCGCAACAACTGCTCGGACGAATAGCGCATACGAACAGGTGTCCGATGCTCGGACGAATATCCACGTCCTTCTTAGACCTATATCATATGAAACCATGACTCATGCGTTATGAATACTGTCATACTGATACTGATTTAGGCTCAGGTGGGTTGGAACAACACGTGTGTTGTGTAAGTTTGTAACATCCCGAAGCCCACAATAGCATATTCCACGATTACTCACTTTACGTGTCAAATATACATGATTACATGTATATCAAACTTTAATTAATTGAGTTTAAATGATACAGTGTCAGTGTCAGTGACAAAGTAACAACAACTTCACCGGCGTAAGAAAACAGATGCTGAGGTTGCACTGAAATGACGACGATTGCTATGTGCACGTGGCGCCATCATTCTGTAATAAGCACAGGCGCGTGGTGTAAATTCCTTATCAAATTAACTGCAAAAAATTAATAAAATCATATCATTATAACTAACAGCGTCATGCACTTAAATAAGCCATGAAATAGGGGAAATTAAGCATGAATTCGTCTTTGCAATAATCATAGGTCGTAGGCGTTGCGGCAAAAAATTATGGCATAGTAAACTCACAGTGTCACAGGTGGCGCTGTTTGCAGCTGCTGTGAGATCAACATTCGTAGGTTAGTGTTTACATTACTTTTGTTCCTATATATTGAGTAATGATTATTAATACCGTTTTTGTCTTATAATATACTATCTAACGTTTATGTGATGAAATCTGTGTTAGATCCTGCGCGCAACTTATCTAATAAACTATACAACTTGTTCTGAATGTTCACTTCCAACATTCACATAATCATAATCAACAAACTAATTTTCTGAAGAAGTGGCACTGGCAGGGCGGGGGTGGGGGGGGCAGGCAGAGCAGGTCGGCGACGTACCACCTCGGCCAGCATTAAGGTGAGTTTACTCGTCTGGAGGTCGGACAGGACAGGAGGAGCAGGGGTACCTCCAGATGAGTAAACTCACCACATGTGTCGGGTTTGCCGGCCGGTCGAGTTGACAATGTCAATGGCATGCGACCGTGCCAGGGCAGTGAGATAAAAACGCATTACCTTTGAATTTGCCCCAATCGTAATTGCTAATTCAAATAACCTTCAAATTTTATGTTAATTTTCGCATTGCATTACTAAAGTTTCTCGGAATCCTTCTTCGGTATATAGTTCCTTGGACTTTGAAATTGAAGACTAATCATTATGAGGTTATCGCTCTCTGGGTCCTACGCCAACTCGCACTCCTAGGCTGAACGAGTATGTTGCTCAGAGGATGTTCTAAATCTCGTAATGTTAACTCTTTACAACCCAAGGAATTATACGTACTAAAGTAAAGACAAAGATCAGATCGGTAGATCAACATTGCGAATAGCAACTGAGAGGTTTCAATGTCCAAATTTCTTATATATGACTTGGGAGAGTTCAAGTAAGGAATTACCAAAACACAGAAACCAAATATGTTTTTTGAGAATGACACATGGCAGAAGCAATGGTCAGAGACAGACGACCAAGTATGATGAGAGAATTTCACCAAACCAATGTTTTGGTCACCGTGATAAATCTTATGGGAATTTGAGTAATCTCGTGATGGAAACTCGGGGGTAGAAATTAACTTTTGAACAAGGGAGTCCAACGGACTGGACTCCCTGCCCTCAAAAAGAGGGAGTCCACAGTCTGAAGTTCAAATTTAAAGATTTGCTGAAAAAACACGGTAATTCCGCGAGGCCGTGCTCTGGAACGAACTATAGTTACTATAGCAGAATTGTTCAGGGAGTCACACAGACTACTGCATATGTCAAATCAGGGAGTCCGACAGTAAATCAGGGAGTATTATTTGACTCTGGACTCGCGTTAAGTTTGCACCCTGGAAACTACCCAGAGTCCAAAGGTCTGTAACCAAGACAGTTCGATGTCAATCTGATTGCTAGATCGACACTGCAAACAGCAGAAAAAGTTTCAATGTAAAGAAACTAAACTTGAATGAGTCCTTTGACGATGAGACATAGCAAAAGGAATGGTCAGTGGCATATGATCGTTTTCATTAAGTTGTTTCATCAAGTAAACTAGCATGGCAGTTTTAATGTGGCCATGATAAATCTTGTTGAAGTTTATGAGTTTAGTAGAGAGAAATTGAGCGTGAAGTCGAGATCGGGAAGAATGTTTTCACAACTGGCGTTGTAATTTTGTGTGTGACCCATCTCGCAGCTTTGTGCTGAATATATTTCAACCTGTTACAGTTTTGCAGAGTGTCTGGGGCCCAGCCAAGTGAGGCATATTCTAGAATAGGGTGGACCATGGTTTTAAAACGGAAAGGAAATCAGGTTTTAGTGTCAGCAAAAGAAAGACTGTGCTGCACAGCGTAGCATGACTTAAGAGCAAGGGGCCTTGTCACAAATGTAATTGATGTGGGCATTCCAGCAAATATCATTGCTCATGATAACATGATACAAATATTTGTACGTCGGATAAAGTGATAGGTACTTAAGATAATGTGAGTAGGTAAAGGTTAAGGGCGATTTAGGCCGGGTAATGCATAGAATTTTTTACGTTTGCCAGGGTTGATGGTCATGCACCAGTTTGAAGACCAAGTTCAATCCCATATTGAGTTTGCTATACAGAAACACGAACACGAAGAAGGAAAACAATTAGGATTGACGAGAATATTTACAGAACTGGCATTGTAGTTTTTTGTGGCAGATCTTGCATCTCTGTGTTGAATAGCATTGTTGCAGTTTTGTAAGAATATCCATTTTAAACGTATATCTACCTGTGTAACCCCTTCGCTCCTGCTAGAGGGCTGTACAATCAACATGGCTCTACCCATGTGTTTTCCAGGGTTAGCCCCATCAGGTTAGATGTTTTTTTAGAAATCATTTACAAACAAGCCGTGCAACGCTATGAATTAATGACTAAATGGCTGTCAGATCAGATCAGATAAATTTTATTACAGATCCTTTCTTATGCATGTACGCACGACATTCCTTTAAAGCGGCAACGGAGGAGCTTGCCAAAGCTTTCTTGCCCGAGTTTTGTGTGTGGCGATCGGATTCGTTTGGTGAGCAGCAGCGGCAGCAGCGGCAGCAGCAGCAGCAGTTTATTGATTTCCCTTTGTGTCAACAGGGACCGGCGCAGAATGTCAAACGGAGACTGGTCGTCAAAACTGTAGCTGCAGGGCGCGTGCAGTCGCTCCGTTGCCCGATCACGCGTGTTTGCAGCGTGGACCTTGGAACTGCTGCTGCCGCTCCCGTTGACACTCTGCATTTCTGCGTCTGCCGCAGAAAGTGTTGAGGCTCGTTGACAGGCGGCAGAATAGCGTTCATCCCTCGCCCACGGAGTGCGCGACACGTGTCTGTAACCCTGGCAATAAGCCGTTTCTCGCTCATGGTCTGCTCTCTCCGTGAGCGGTGAGCGTGAAGAAGAGATGGTTCAGTGGCGACGTATTGACGGCGACGCGACGCACGATCCGCCCGTCCTCCGCGCGAACGCGACAACAACGCCGTCGCCACGGTGATGGAGCTAACGACGAGCCACGCGCTGAGCTCTGACGATCTCTACGATGCTCGCGCCGACTCCCTGGAACTCTGCGTCCCCGCCGCGGGATACGTCGCCGTGGCGACGGCGGGGGAGGTGTGCGACGCTCCGATGCTCGTTGCCGGCGGCGACGGCGCGCTGCCGGAGATCATACAGACGCGTCGCGGCGAAATCCTCGTCTACCGCGGACACCGCTACTCGAAGATCTCGCTCGGTGGACACCGCAAGTACTGGCGCTGCACGAAGCGTCCGTGTCGTGCGAAGATCCACACGGACCTGCACACGGGGGCGGTGCTGCACATCAGCGAGGTACACACCCACGGCGCGCCCGTCGAGAAGACGTTGAAGGATCGCATCGAGGGGCTGTTCTACTGTGAGTGCACAACACAGCGAACAGCATAAATCCGTAGTAATTCAACTACTATATTTATTTTTACTATATTTTATATATTATACTATTATTTATATATTTTATATTTTACTATTATACTTATTTTACTATATATTTATTTTTACTATATTTCACTCCAGCCTGCTTTACTGTGAGTACGCAGTGAACAGCATAAATCCGTAGTAATTTCCAAATTTGTGTAATAAGCATCCTATGCGCTAACAGGCGAGACTATATTTCACTCCAGCCTGCTAGTCTAACTGAGTATAAGACTCTTTGATTCGCGTCTCCCCCGCAGTGACAGGATACACACACACACACACACGCACACACACACACACACACACACACACACACACACACACACACACACACACACACATCAATGACACACGCTCGCGCACGCCTTCGTGCGTTTGGTGGCAGGTCCGTTTTTTCCCTGGCTGCAAGATTTAAATGATTAACTTTCAGTTGAAAAGTTGACGAGTTGATCAACGTAAAAGTGAGTGTCAACTAGTAGATTAATGCCTGCAATGCCATTTACAAAGCAATTGTTGCGACGTTTAAAAATATGGCTGCATCATTTGCCATTTTATATACCATAACAGCATAAAAATTGGGTAATTTTCAAGTTTGTGTAATAAGCAACCTATCCACTGATAGGCGAGAGTCGCGAGACTATATTTCACTAAATGTTTTCAGATTTTTGATGGTATTTGTCACTATTTGAGAGATGGTTCATTTAATCGTCACTCACATAATCTCTCACGAGAGATCGCAGGTCCGTCGATCAAAATTTTGCGTAAATTTTCAGACCAGCGGGCGGCCCTCCCTGCAGCCGCTGACAGCACCGGCAGCCCGTCGACGTCCGGTGGCGCCGCCCTGGTGGCGTGCTCGCCGTTCTCGTCTCCGACGGAGCTCGTCGACCACGTCGTCGTGTTCCCGCTAGAGGGCAGCAGCGGTCACGTGCGCGTTCCCGTCGAGTACGAGCACATGGAGGTGTGGTTCTGGCCGGCGTCCTTCGACGACCTTCCACATCTAGAGTCGCACCTGGTCATCTACCACCTGCGTGAGATCGCCACAGCCTGCCAGTACGTGTGTGACGCAAACTCATAGCTATCAGGGTTGTCAACTTATAGTTTTCAGGGGGCTGTTGTCAGAAACAATATTAATCTTAACATTAGTCTTAATATTAATTAGTCTTAACGCAAACTTTTTTCAGCAGCCCCATTTTCCGAAACAAAATTAGTCTTAACATGATTAGTCTTGGCATTTGTCTTAACGTGAACATTTTCTCATAGACGTTTACCAAAAACATGGTGATCATTGTAAAAATCAAAATTAGTCTTGACATTAGTCTTAACGCGAGCTTTTTCTCGTGGATTATTACAGAAATGTGGTGAAGTTACCAAGTTTCTCATATGCAGTGTATAGCGGTCTGTCAAGTATGACGTATCGTTAAGCAATAGAATATCATTCCAGAGCATTCTGAGCTTCCTTCCAGAGCAGGCTAAGTAACGCTGAAACTCAGCAGTCAAGATCTGACAGATCATGAGGTTAAATCCTGCAATGTGTTTTTAATCTGGAATTAGACCCTGTTTAGTTATTTGTTATCACACGAAGTGAGAATAAAGTTGTATATGATTAACTAACGAACGACGACGATTCTCTCTCCGTTCGTTCCAGGAACGAGGCGTTCTCTGCGCTCGCCTCCCTCCTCTTCGACATTCCCCAGGAGCAGATGAACAAGTACCACTACGTGCACAGCGTTGAGGGGGGTCTCGCCCCCGAGCTACGACGCATGCTCTTCGACGCCCACTGCCGCGAGGTCGCCGATAAGCTGCGCTGCGACGCAGACGTTCCGCGCGGGTTTGTCTGCCGCGGCGACGACAACGGCGTGCGAGGATTCGGGTTGTTCGTCGACGCCGCGAACGACGGAGCGCGCGCGCTGCGATCGCGCCTCGAGTCGTCCGGCCGGCTCCACGAGTGGGTGCCCGGCGTGAAGTACGAGAGCGGGGAGGAGTGGGCGGGGGAGGGGGAGGAGGAGGAGAGCCGGGAGCGGGAGTGGCGGCGTCTGCGCGCGTGGCTCGCGCGGGAGGCGGTCGGTCGTCCCGCCGCGCGCGTCCGTCCGCGAGACGAGCTGCTCCGCGCCCCGCCGGCCTGCGTCACCGCCCGCCTCCTCACCGCGCTCGAATCCTCCTCGTCGTCGTCGTCGTTGCCCCCGGCGACGGATGCGGGAGGTCCGTGGCCCGCGATCACGTTCGTGTTGCCGCTCGACGGGGCGGTGGTGGCGGCGCGGCGCGGGGAGTACGCGCGACGCGTGCTGCGCGCCGACGCCCCCGCGATGCTGGCAGCGGCCGCGGCGGACGGACGCGGGCGGGCGTACTTCGTGGTCGAGCGGTCGGACTTTGACGAGCGGGCGGGCGTGCCGGACCTCCCCGGATGCTGGGTGCGAGTGTACAGCGCGTTCGACCCCGGCTTGTACAGCGTGACGTGCCTCGTCGTCGAGGTGACGAGGATGTAGGACGTTGTCGTGGTTACCGGAGTGGTGGTGGTCGTCGTGGTTACCGGAGTGGTGGTGGTCGTCGTGGTTATCAGAGTGGTGGTCGTCGTCGTAGTGACGAAGATGTAGGTCGTCATCGTGGTTACCAGAGTGGTGGTCGTCGTCGTCATGGTGACCAGGGTGTAGGTCATTGTCAAGGTGACCAGGTTGTGAGGCATTGTTGATGGGACCTGAGTGTAGGTTATTAGCAGATATCGCGCAAAGAAATGGCTGTCTATCGTATGACATGCATGGACGTTTAGTCTTGCAGCGATGTTGTGCTAAGAGTGGCTGCTCTAGATGAAGAATCTAGGAGTCGAGATCTCCATATCAGCGATGACTTTGTACAGACGACCACATGCAAATACAAACTATAGCTACAAGATAAATCAGCTACTACTCTGCATTTATTGTACCTAAACGATGCCAAGGATGAGTATCCTTTGTGTAGGTGTGTAGCGCTAGCTATTACTCCTTTTGTCGTAAATGATTAAAAATAATTCGTGAAATGTCAATATATAAGTTGACACTTGTATTATATGCATTATATTCAGTAGCCATTATCAAGTGTACCTTCCAGCTGAAATGTACTCATGTGTGTAAACTGTTGAATTGCTTCCGGAGTCGAATCTATGATGAATAAAGTGCCATCTACTACTGTGGTTGGCTGCAACACTGGCATGTATTACAGGACGGTCTATGTATGAACGTCGCATCTGATAGCCAAAGTGCTTTGGTTACCATGTGACTTATAACGTTGCCGCGCGACCTATAACGTTTCCGCGCGACCTATAACGTTGCCACACGACCTATAACGTTTCCGCGCGACCTATAACGTTGCCACACGACCTATAACGTTTCCGCGCGACCTATAACGTTGCCGCGCGACCTATAACGTTGCCACACGACCTATAACGTTTCCGCGCGACCTATAACGTTGCCGCGCGACCTATAACGTTGCCACACGACCTATAACGTTTCCGCGCGACCTATAACGTTGCCGCGCG